GGGTCTTGCCATGTTGTTGGCCATCCAGTTCTCCACCTGGGTTCACAGGGGTCTATTGAATGTGGTCGGGCTTAGCTCACAATTTCATTGCTGTTTTTTTCCCCTCCTCTTGTCTTTTTCCACTGTGAAAGGGACTTTTCTGTCTTTATTTGAATCCACAGATCAAATGAATAGTACTCTTCTGTGGCTCAGCTCCTCCAACAGTCAACAAGCCTTTCAGATTTACAGCTTCAGACAGACAAGAGGGAACAATCCACACAAAGGGCTCTGCTTTTCTCTTACGATGGTTAGCTAGGTCTTTGGACTGCAGACCTCCCTTGTCAGAATCCCGGCAAGATGTCCTCAAGACCCAGGGGAGGAATGTGAGAACTCATGGATAAAGGGCAGCCAAGGCCATACTTTGGTGTCTGGCAGGATCCCGACACTTTTGGCCTCTGTACATACCAGTTTCATTTACTCATTGACCCTGCTTCAGTTGACTGTCCTCTAGTGGTCTGGTCCTCATCTTAGAATCCATCTCTTTGTTCTGCTTACTTTGACCAGTCACTCTGCCTTAGATTGGTTTACCCTCAGCTCAGTCCCATTTCTGGACAATCTTATCCAAACCACGGCCTCTGATGCCTTCAATTGGATTATGATGCTGTCTTGGTTTTTGCCCTTCTTATAAAATTTGTGCATGTCTAGAAAGATTCCCAGCAGGAAATGTCACTAGTTTAATGTCTTTCTGATCCAAATCCATCTTAGTGTGAAGAAAGCAAAGTTGGGGTAGTTGCTACAGAACAGCATTTCTGCATCAGGGAGCCCTTTTTTCTCCCAAACCTTCTGCATTCATAAAGGGGGCTGGCATCATAAGCCTGAGAACCTCACGCTTGCCCAAGCAGGAATGACATGGTCAGAGCTGTTTAGGAAGCAACTCTAAGAGTTATGGAGGATGAATGAGAGGAAGAGAGGCTGTGGGTAAGAAGACCATATACTTGTACAAGCTACTGAAAAACATTTAGGTGAGTAATGATGAAACCTGAATTGGACATTAGGGATGGGACGAGGAGGGCAGGATAAATGGTAAAACAGATATTTTGGTGGAAGAATTGATAGGACTATGTATGTAGCTGACGAGGGTGATGAGGGAGAAGTGAAATGATTCAGATGGAAACTTGAAGGAATAGGAAGATGGAATAGAATTAGGGAATGGGAAGAGGAGATGGTTTGAAAGGAATGTGGAAGACAGTGACTTTAGTTTTGCATTTGAGAGTTGCAGACATCATTCTATCATGCAGTGGGGATATGTTGGACTGGACTCATGTCTGGCCAAGAGGTATCAGTTTAAGAGTTCCAGACTGAAGAATGTTTTAGAGACATGAGAGAGCATGCAGAATGTGAGGAGTGAGGCTGGAACTTAGAGGAACACCACACGGAAGCACAAAACAAGGAGTAGTAGGACTGAGGACAAAAAGCTGAATCCAAAACAAGAAGGTATGGTTGTGCCAGTTAAGGGAAGGGAGTTTCAGGGAAAATTGTGAGGAGGTGGAGACTGAAAAGAGGCAGTTAAGTTACTGGAGAATGTTGGTTACAGCTGGCTTTGTCTCAGTCACAACAACTATCCTAATCCTTATGAGATCATTTCATCCCAAAGTACAGGCACACACCTCAAAAGACGCAGGATTTTGGATAACTCGCTTACTTTACACTCAGTTTGAAGGTACTGCAGAATCAAATAAGACTGCTCAGCACTTAAAATTAAATCCCTTCAATTCTAAACCTCACTTGTTTCTATAAGAGGAAGCTGCAAAGACTGAGTGAGACTGAAGACATTAAAAAAAAAAAAACAACTAATAAATATTGATCAGGTTCCACGTCCAGGTACGTGAAAACCTTCCTGGAATTCACTGGAGCCCCACCCCCTTCATGAATATGTATATAAACTACCAGCCGCCCACTGCCCCGCCCTCTACTCTTCCCCTTCGCAACGGACTCTCCCTTCAAACGGGAAACAAGATGGCGGCAGCAGGCCCGAGTACTCGGGCCTCTTCCGCGGCGGCAACGGCGGCTCTGAGTCGGCGGGGTCGGCGGGGCCGCTGTGACGACATGGCGGCAGTGAAGACTGGGGCCCCGGGCCCAGGCTCTGGTCCCGCGCTATTGGTGTTTCCAGCGCCGTTGTTGCAACCGTCGCTACCACCGAGGCCGGAGGAGTCTGGCTGCGCCGGGTGCCTGGAGACGCCGGGAGAAGCGGCGGCCTTGCCGTGCGGCCACTCACTGTGCCAAGGCTGCGCCCAGCGCGCCGCCGACGCGGCGGGCCCCGGTTGCCCGCGTTGTCGCGCTTGCGGTCCGGGCTGGGCCCGCCGTCGGGCCCGCGACGACAGCCAGGCAGACGCCGAGGTGCTAGGCGAACGAGTCCGCCGCAGCCAGCCCGAACGCTGCCGTCCGCGCCGGGACGGGGGCGCGGCCGCTGCGGAGCCCGGACCGGAGCAGGAGCCGCGCGCCGCGCCTGCGGAGCCAGGTGGAACTTCCTCTTCTCCTCTTGGGGTCCGGAAAGAGGCCGAGTGCGCCCCGGCCTGGTTAGGGGGTGGAGCGTCCCAGGCCCCTACTCGAGCGGGTGTGGAGAGTTCGCATGGGGTTGGAAACCGGGCTCTGCCCAGGTGCAGTGCCTGTTTCTGAATTTTGAACTTCGGAATGAAGTACGGGCACGTTGGATTTGGAGGGGCAATGAGGGGATCCCGCGCCTTACGTAAGTCAGAAGTTTGGAGTGAGCCTTAGAATCCCGGAACGTGTTGGGAGCAGGTTGTAATTGGCGTGTAGACGGGGTGGGTCTTGAACTTTGCGGGGGCCCTGGAGGATCCGAGTAGTGCTTAGTTTTAGTGTTGAGTGAAGAACTTGGGGTCGTGGTGCTTGGAGCGATGTGGCTTCTGGGCCTGAGTGCGTCTGTGAGAAGGGGAGCAGCGTGTCGGTAGTTCTTGATATAGTTAGGGAACAGGCTGAATTTGAGGATGTGAAGTGGCTTTTCAGACGAGAGTAGAATGGGTTGTGAAAAGGCGCTCATGTATGCATTTCCACCCCCATGAAATCTTAGAAAATGTATGGTTAGCACAGAGTTTGGCACGTAGTAAGGATACAATAAACTAGCAGCTATTATATTGATAATATTATTATTAGTAGTAAGCCAACTCTGTTACAGCCCTACAAAAGGAAAAAACCGGATGGGGTTAAAAAGTTTTGGAGAGGATGATTGGTTAGCTGACTGGCTGGCTGGGGCGGTTTCTCTCCTTGGCATTGTGAATTTCCTTGTTATCATCCTGTTAATTTCACTTAAAAATCTGTTTCGGGACTATTGCCTTCAACTTCTTTTCCTTTCCAACCGCCCAGAGTCTGCTACTTGTTGGGACTTTCAGGTTGGGTTTTGAGATAGAAAGTGCCCTGTTTAAAAGAGAAAACTTAAATAATGTAGGACTCTTTCAACAGCATCTCCAGGTCTGTTTTATAAAAAGATGCTTACTTAAATGAGATTTTCAAGAAACAAAAATCAGAAAAGTCAAGATAGTTGTGCTTTTTATGTTGGGAAGGCTGCCATGTGTTATTTTCATTAGGGAAAGGGAGTCGTTGTTTATGTTTGAAAGCACGGCCCCTAAAAACTATAGGTTCCCAAAAGCAGGCTTTGGGTCAAGTAGTCAGGGTCAGTGTCCTAGAATAATCTTGCTTTTATTCCTGGGGTTGTGAGGATCTGCATTTTATTTTTTATGTGCCTTACTAATCCTTTTCGTTTTTACAACATCCCTATGAGTTAGGTTTTATTTCCATTTTACAGCTGAAACTGAGGCCCAGAGTTACTTGCCTAAGAATGTAAAACCAGTTCCATCTAATTCCTGCATGGTGGTTATGTACCGTGGTCTTTTGATATGTATATGACTCATAGCGAACCTGTGCAGGCTGTCCGAGGCTGTAAAGCTTTACGGGAGTAGAAAGCCTCATTTTTCTCCCGGGAACAGCTGGTAGTTTAGAACTACACTACAAGAGCTCCTTGATCTCCATATTAGTAAGTGGGTTCATGCGTCAGACTGCAAAGTCGTTTTAACTGCAAGGTTGGCGGTTCAAGCTCACCAGCTGCTCCTTGGAAACCCTATAGAGGGTCGCTATGGGTCGGAATAGACTTGATGGCACTTAACAACAACAACATTGATTATTTTGCCAAATAGGATAGACGTTTTTATTTTTAGTTCTTAAACTTGTGAACTAGTAGGTCTGAAATTGAACCATAAGAAGGGACTATGTCTTGAGAATTTATGCAGATTTTTCAGTTAAAAGAAATTTTGTCATAGATTAATTATATCATTAATTAAAGAAAATTATCTGAAATGAGATACAAATTAGAATCTGTGGTGGTGGTTATGTGCCATGGAGTTGGTTCCAACTCATAGCGACCCTGTACAAGGTTTCCGAGAATTTATAGAGTCAACAATTTATGAAAATATTTTCCCATAAATGTTCTTACTGCTGAATCGATGAGAATGTACACTTAAATGCTTATTAAGTCAAAACATTATAGAAAAATATTACTGAGTAGGGCGCAGGAATTATCTTTTAGTGTACGTTTTATTCTTTTTTTCAACTGGGATTCCCTTGATCTTCAGCAGGTTGTGTAAATCTCTTGAAGTGTTGTATACAGTATATTTTAATATAAAATTTCAGTAGGCAAAATATATTTACATGAGCCAAACTAAAGCATTAAAAAAACCCCAACTATGCAATGAAAAGGTAGGTTCCGTTTTGCTTTATCTCATTACCTATTTCCATGAAAGATTGTTTATTCCAGTTTCTTCATGCATATACATGATGATTCAAGTATAGTTATTTTATTATTTGTCCATTTTATACAGTAGGTTGCACATTATGCAAAGTGTTCTGTAAGTGCTTTATTAATTTAACAATACATGAGGGAAATTTTTCCATACCATATAGAAAGTTTTACTCTTGTAAGTTCAGTGAAATTTCATTGAATGGATAGAACATGACTATCTATTGCACATTTAGGTTGTTTCTAATCTTCTGCCATTGTATATAATTATACAATCATTATATAAGTATATCTGAGTATTTGTATGAAGAGAAGGTCCTCTTTAGCTTTCACTACAATCTGAAAAGGTTGCAAAAAATGGTTGCAAGCCATTGTGCTAATTCATGTCCTTCATTCTACCATAGATAAAATTGAGTCCCAGAACAGAGAATTATCAGCTAAAGGCCATAATGAGTTAATAACAGATAAACAAGGCCTGAAAGGGTAACCTAGAAATAATGGCTGAAATACAGATAGCCTAATTAACAGCAAAATGCTCATGATTGCTTTTATTAGGGAAAATTGAAAATACCAGTTCACATTTATATTATACTTTTATGAGTGGGAAATGAAAATTAGCAATTTTAGGAATATCAGAGTTTGGCAAGAAAAGTTCAGGAATTTTGTGTTTGTTGAAAATAATTGGTTGCTCAGGAGACATTTTTATTTTTTGCCAGCTTCTTGGCAGTCTTTAAGGTTCAGAATCTAGGTAACCCCATGCAAAATGTCTTATTTTATTCTTATATGCATTGTTGGTTTGCTTTTGGATGTAGCATCAGTTCTTGATTTGTGAAACCCTGTGTGTGAGGTCTTAGCCAGTGGTCATTTAAAGATGAACCGATACTTCAACTTGATGTTCTTTGAAACTCTGCAGCTCATTGTGTATATTGGCAATATTAAGTATTTGGACCATCTTGAACAGCATTTAGCAAGTATTGAATGAGTGCCTACACTCTGCCAGGCACTATTATAAGTGCTTGGGAGACATCAGTGAACAGAATATCCAGATTTCTCCCTCATGAAGCTTATATTTTAAGTTTAGAGATAGTTCTGGTTTTATATATATATATATATATATAATTACCTCACAGATAAATGTAGGTAGATTTAGAAGTGTATACAACAGCAACACTAAATATCTAAAACATCCTTGGTAATGATTCATTAGTTTTAAGCATTCATTTTATGTTTTGATTTAAAATCAAGGCTGACCATTCTAAATGATAAATCTTAGAAAAAAATGTATTTCAAAATTGAAATGCATTTCAAAAGTTGAACAGATTGAAAAAAAAGTTCCTCATTTATCCCTTCCCTTTATCCTACCCCAACCCCCCTGTTTACCCAGGGTTAACATTTACTCAGTGAATTTCCCCTTTCTGTGAAAAGCAAGTTGTTCTGGTTTATTACTCAGTTAGTAGACAATGTTTGCTATGTGTGCAGCCTAAATTGCATTTAGGACTAATGAATAATGAAACCATGTGATTGTAGTGTAAAAGGACAGGAATTTCCCTGGTTTGTAAAGATTTGTTTTAAAATGTATAAAATGACTCAACTCTTTGTCCATAATGACACATATTCCAGGATTTGAATGCCTTTTTGTCTTACACCGATGTAGGAAACGTTTGCCTTATGCTTATTTGTTTTTAAAGCTCATGATGAGATTACCTCATGATATAGTCTACCAACTAAACAATAATTATCATTGAAAGAATAATGCCAGTCTGTAGAATTCAGAGTGAGCAGCAGAAATTTAGGATTCATTTACATTTATAAGTTTGTGTTTGCTCTTTCATATTTCCTTTCCCTGATTAGCCAGTTAGTCTTGGAAGAGTTGCCTATCTTGCATTCATTTATATCTGAGTTTGCTTGAAAGTAGGCTATAAGATATGATTGTCTAATTTCACTCCACTGTAATTCAATGAACATTTCTTGGGTCGACACATAGTATGATGGGGCTTCAAAAAGGTCATGGGAAAATGGAATAAAAAGATAATGGAATTTCTCCATGAACTTTTTGAAGTCTCTTCATATGCCAGATATAAACTAAAACCCACTGATGCTGAGTTGATTTTGATTCATAGTGACCGTGTAGAACATAGATGAACTGCCCCATAGAGTTTCTTTCTCCCACTGAGTAGCTTGGTAGATTTGAACTGCTGCCCTTTCAGTTTATAGCCAAGTGTTTAACCACTGTACCACTGGGGCTTCTGCTGTATGCAAGATGATACAGTAAAAAAGCTGAATAAGACATGGTCCCTGTTCTTTGAAACTCTGCAGCTTGGTTGATGGAACACTTTCATACCTAATCAAATACGGTACTAAATGAGATAAATGCATAAATGCCAACAGGATACAGGAATGGGAGGAAACTTGAGAAAGGCATTTGAGCTATATGTTGAATGAGTAGGAATTCACCAGGTGAAGGAGGAGGGAATGGCCATTCCAGACTGTCCAGGGACTGGCAAGAAGTTAAATATAAATGGGGAAAGAAGTCAGATCATGAAGGGTATTGTAAGTTATGCTAAAAGAATATGGGACTTTATCCTATAGACAGTGTGGAGCACTTAAAGAGGTTTAAGTTATGGTGAGATGATGCTACCATAAATGTGCTTTACAAAGATTATGTTGGTTGGAGTTTGGAGGAAAGATGTAAGTAAAAATTAGAGACCGAG